GTCCTTTCTTACTCATTAGCAAACCTGTGCTATTTGTAGGTCTGTTCATCATGATATACGTGGAAAAGCAGATACATTTTAATTGCTCAGATAAACTGCTGTCAAGTTCTGTGACTCAGCAGGTACACTGAGTACCTTTGGTATTAGCACAGTACAAGGAATAGATTTTTAGAGTTGGAGAAATAAAGAAATTGTAATATTAGTAATAAAACTGTATGACTCCAGATGTCAGAAAACTAAGAGTTTGATGTTGATGGAATAAGCGGTGCCTTTAAGTATGAAAATATTACAGATTCTTGATAGATGAGAAGAAAAGAAAAACATTTCTCCTTCTGGAGCTCTTCTTGACATGTTTCTTCAGAGTTGTTTTTTCCAAGTGAAGCTGTGTGGTTTTATGTATATCTTTCCCATCAAGTTTGGGTCCCTCTATGAGCAGTGCATCTCACATGAATGCCTCTAAATAAAAAGATAAAGTAACTGAGTATGATTCTCACCTGTAATTTGCCTTTCATGCCATACGTACTAAAACCTATATATTATATAAATGAATGTAATAAATAAACAAATGCTGTAAGATGAGCCAATGGGAATGAAAATCAGCGTGGATCAGCAGGGAATTTTTTTCTGAGGCTCTGGGAGAAAAAGAGAGTCTCCTTCCTATGGAAGAAGGGATGGGCAACTTAGGGAGAATACAGAGATTTTGTTAGGATATGCAGGGAAAAAATCAGAAAGGCAAAAGCCCAGCTTTAACTCAATCTGGTCATTGGGATAAAAGAGAACAAAAAACTTCTTTATGAATATTTTAACAGTAAGAGATGGGCTAAGGAGAATCTCCATTCTTTACTGCATGCAGTGAGGAATGTGATCTCTGAGAATAAGGAAAAGGCTAAGGTTCTCAGTGTCTTCTTTATGTCTGTCTTTAAAAGCCAGACCAATTATTCTTAGGGTACTCTACCCCCTGACCTGGAAGTCTGGTGCAGAATAAACCCCCCACAATTCATGTGGAAACAGAGAGCTACTGCTACACCTGGACTGTCACAAGTCCTTGGAGTCAGATGGGTTGCATGTGAAGGAGCTGAGGGAGCTAGCAGAGCTGATTATCAAACTGCTTTCCACCATCTATCAGTGTTTCTGTTCAACTGGAGAGATCTCAAAGGGTTGAAGGCCTGCCAGTGTGGCTCCCACCTACAAGAAGGGTCATAAGGAGGATCTGGGGAACTACAGGCCTGTCAGCCTGACCTTGGTGCTAGGAAAGGTTATGGAGCAGATCATCTTGAGTGATATCGCATGGCATGTGCAGGACAGCTGGGGGATCAGGCCTGGCCAGCACGGGTTAATAAAAGGCAGGTCCTGCTCAAACAACCTGATCTTTTTCTATGATGTAATGGCTCATCTGGTGGATGAGGGAGAGGTTGGTGGATGGTGTTAAATTCAGCTGGTAACTGGTCACAAGCAGAGTTCCCCAGGGACCTATACTGGGGCCTGTCCTGTTTAATATCTTCACTGATGATCTGGATGAGGGGACTGAGTGCACCCTCTGTAAGTTTGCAGGTGACACCAAGTTGAGAAAAAGTGTTGATATATCTGAGGGTAGAAATGCCCTTCAAAGGGATGTGGACAGGCTGGATAGCTGTGCTGAGGCCAACGGGATGAGGTTCAGCAAGACCAAATGCTGGGTCCTGCACTTTGTCCACAACAACCTCAGGCAATGCTACTGGTTTGGGGCAGAGCGCTGGAAGACTGTGGAGAAAATGGACCTGGGAGTGGTGGTTGACACTCAGTTGAATGTGAGCCAGCAGTGTGCCCTGATGGCCCAGAAGGCCAACGGCATTCCTGTCTTGTATCAGAAATAGTGTTGTCAGAAGGAGCAGGGAAGTGATTGTCCCCCTTTACTCAGCGCTGTTGAGGCCACACCTCAAATTCTGTGTTCAGTTTTGGGCCTCTCACTAAAGGAAAGACATTGAGGCCCTGAAGCATGACCAGGGAAGGGCAATGAAGTTGGTGAGGGGTCCGGAGCACAAGTCTTACGAGGAGCAGCTGAAGGAACTGGGAACGTTCAGTCTGGAGAGGCTCAGGGGAGACCTTCTCAATCTCTACAACTCCCTGACGGGAGGTTGTGGTGAGGTAAGCTCATTCTCTTCTCCTGCATAACCAGCCATGGGATTAGAGGGAATGGCCTCAAGTTGTTCCAGGGGAAGTTCAGGCTGGATATTTAGAAAAATTCATTCTCTGAAAGAGTGCCAAGGTGCTGAAATGGGCTGCACAGGGAAGTGGTGGATTTATAGTCACTGGTGGTGTTCAGTAAACGTTTAGATGTTGTGCTGAGGGACGTGGTTTAGTGCAGAAACATTGGTGGTAGGTAGACAGTTGGACTAGATGATCTTGGAGGTCTTTTCCAACTCTTGGCGATTCTATGATTCTGTGAAATTACTGGTATGTAATTTTTCTGCAAATGTCCAAGAGTCTGAAGTTCCATATGCAGCTAATACTCCAAACATTTAGAGATGCGTAATAACTTTATTTATTATACTGATTTTTTTTTTCACTGTGTACAGAAAGTCCCCTGGGCCTTCTACAGGCTTCGTCTTGCAAGCAGTTTCAAAATGCCATTCATTTTTACGTGCATTTTTTTTACAGAGCAAACCTAAGCTGGTGTTAGCAACTCTTACCCTAAGAGCATTTTAAACACAAAGGGCAAAAAGTAGTATGAACCTTAAAGCCTTATGTTACTTGAGATAAGTTGTATGTACTTTTCCCTTTGTTCTAGTTAAATTGTCACTGGAAGATAAGGAAAGTTCAGTAATATGCTATTAAAACCAGATGTGCGTGGCTAGAAAGAAGTTATATTCTAGAAGTTTGTTTTGCTAGCCTGTAGGTGGAAAGAACAGTTGAGATCACACTTCTCAAAATATCGGTGGATTGCTGTACTATACCTGTTTGTCTGTTTGCTGATTGGGTAGGGCTGTTGCTGGGCTGATACTGTTTTGACCAAAATTAGAAAGTCAATATAAACGAGTCAAACGAGACTGCCTGCTTTTTTTTCAGTTCTCTCTTCTGATTCATCTGTTGTTTGTTTCAAATTCTTACAGCCTTTGTGAAATGGGGGCTGTGCCAGCAAAGGTGAAAGCTCTTAGTGGTTAGTCAGGAAGAACGTGCAGAAAAATTTTGTCTCAATGACATTTAGAAGCTAGCAAAAATATGATGCCTGGTTTAGAGGAAAAAAAAAAAAAAGTGGAAATGGGTCCTGCAGAGTGGTCATATTATACAGAGAGGGGAAGAGAGCTCACGTCTCCATTAGGAAACTGCCTGCCACTTGAATAGCATTTGTCTTTACCTTAGGTTGATGTCCTTGTCAGCTTCTGTGGCAGGGGCTTGGGACCTGAAATTTGCTCATGAGGGCATATGTGAAAAAAGGACTGCTGCTTACACATCTTTTTTTCCTTAAGTCTACTTCAGTTGGAGTGTGTCTGGTTAACTTGTGTTATTAATACCATCAAGGGTTAGAATGTCTGTGATTATAGCTATTGCATCTGAGGAAAATGATCAAAATACTGGGTTAATGCAAGCATGGCAGTCTAACAGGCATAAAATGCTGGCTGCACTATATCTGAAGAAATGCTGTTCTTTTACCTGTGTTGATACAGCTATGAACTCTTTAAAAATAAGCAGGTTTTGAATAATATGTTTTAGATGTTTTAGTTTGTACCTGGCTTAGTTCAGATTTTCAGAATCTTTTTTTCTTCTCCCATACAGGTGGGTCAGAAAGAGATGGGAGAGTGTTGAATAGCACTGAATTAAGATCCACTCATTTTGCAGAAAAATAGCTGTAGCTCTGTCTGTCCAAAATGAAGCAGAAAGAGATGCAATTCAGTATCCCACTCAAGGGCAAGGATAGGAAGTGCTTTAAGAGACCAATTTGGTTAAATCATGAGATCTCGAGATACTATCTAAAAACAGAAAGTAGGTCTCATTTAGCGATGATAAAAATAAGCGGGTGGCAAGAACATTTAAAATCAAAATCAGAATAAACTAGCACAAGATGAGAAGCATCTAGAAGGGGACATAACAAGAAGCACAAGAACTTACTATAGAATATTAATTGCAAGAAGACAATAAGGAAGTAATTGCTTCTGTGTTCAGAAGGTAAGATGAGAATTACTGGCAGATGACATTAAGTAGTGAAGCATGGAATGCTCTTTTTTTCTTTTCTTTTTCTAAAAGATCTAAGTATGATCAAATGATTAATCTCTATTCCAGCCTGAGTCCTTTTATCACTGAATAATGAGCTAGAGTGTATTTAAGTGTCTTCAGACCAGGTGGACCTCAAGAAATTTACTTTCTGGTGCTTACAAGAGGGCAGAAAGGGGTAATGTCTCGAGTTCCTGAGAAGTTATGTGCGATGACAAGGCCATAGGACACCTCTCTGGAAAAGAAGAAAGGGGGAATTGGAGAACAACAGACTGGTCATATTTTTGGTAAAATTCTGGAACAAGTAATTCAGCAATCTCTAGACAATTGAAATTAACAAGGGAATGATATGGATTTAACAGTAGCAGAGTAAGGTCAAGTAGTTCAACCTCTGCAATGGGTAGCAGACCTAGAGAAGAAGGGAAGTTAGCAGTCTTTGGCCATATAGCAGACATTTGCTTGCTTGTAAGATTAGTAAGATCTAGCTCATATGATTATTCTGGGCTATAAAATGATGTTTTAAAATTACTATGGACTTGTTAAAAACAGGTTACAAAGCATATTCCATTACTGATTAGTGACCTCAATGCTATGGTAGATCTGTGAGATGCTTCATAAAATTTTCTTCTGTAAACTGATTTATGAAAGATAGTAGCATAACAGTTGTCTTCTATTTGTTGTATTTGGCATTGTTTCTGTGTTTTGGGACCTGCTATTAGATAAATTCTGAAACAAATTACTGCCTTCTATTTAAGCAGCTGATAGCTTCAGATTTTTTTTTATTTAAATACGGTTTGTTTACTTTATTGCAGGACTTGGTTATCCGTATCATCTTTATTCTTGGTAATTTAACAGCAAAGAATAACCAGGCCCGTGAGCAATTTTTTAAAGAAGAAGGAAGTGTTAACACCTTGATGTCAGTGTTCCAAACCTACCATGAACTTGATTTGAATGAAGAGAAATGGTACCATGAAAGAAGAAGAGAAGAAAAAAAAAATCCAAAGCATCCTTCCAAAGCAGAAGATGTTCTGATAAAACTGATACGAGTGCTGGCCAATCTGTCCATTCATCCCAGTGTAGGAGCAGCTCTGGCAGCTGCCCATTGTGTTGTAGAATTACTTGTTACAGTACTAGGTAATAAAATCTATGTTGCATGTGTTATCTTCATTCGATCTGCAGGAAGAGTTTAGGATTGTTCTGCTTAAGCTTTTTATCTAGATTGAGCCATACCTAAGTGGATTCTGTTGCTAAAATAAGTCAATTTTCTGGTATTCATAAACTGTATTATATAAAATGCTGTTTGAGACAGTGAAAGCATTGACTTTTCAGTGTCTGTGCAAAGAAGTTGTAGAAGTGCTTCATTTGGTGGTAAGTTTCACAGACTTGATCACTAAAGAGAAGCAAATTAGAATTTTAAGTATGTCTGCCTATGAGACTTCGCTTATAAGAAGATCCATTGTTCTACTTAATTTTTAACATTCACCATTTTTGTCGCTGTTCTGGAGTTGCATTTACCACTTACTGATCCCTTTGTGAATCTAAATGCAGGCTAGAACTGGGCAGACTGTTCTCCCACTAACATAGTTCAGCAGTGAGGAAATATATTTCAAATAACTCAATATATTTTAGCGTGTGATGAAAACAGTAAGACTACATAAACACAATCAGCCTGTTTATATACTAATTTACCAGTCTTATCTACCACAACTGGCATTTAGAGACAAGAAGACTCACAAATTCATCCTCTCTGTCTTAAATCCTGAAGGAGCTACCAGGGTTGGAACTGTCCTAATAACTGTGTAAGCACCTTTGAGCTTTAAAGCTTCTCTCTGACCCTCTCTTCTTTTCATGAGCACTCTATCAGTTTACCACAAAATTTTATTTCCTTCACCCTTGGTTTCTGAGGGCAGAAACCTCAGAAAAATTCAGACTTGCTAGCATTAGAGGAAATTGCACATCAGTGATATTGTCAGGAGTTCTTTAAGAGAGAGAATGTCTCAGATACTGTTAAAGACTACTTTTTTAATTTTAATGTGTCATAGTAGCTTAGTAGTAGTCTTTGTTCTCTTTGTCAGCAGTCTGATAACTGTAATACAGGCCTGTTTCTGCATGCAAATCCTCCTCAGCCCCATCTCAATGCAGTAAGTAGGATCTGTAATATGTTTTAACTAGATTTTACATAATATCATGTTAGTCACAATCATTTCTATAGATGAAGTCAGAAAGCGTGACTTTGCATTGCCACTTCTGCATCAGCTATTCCTGTTAGCCTCTACCCTTTTAGTGAAAAATAAAAATGATCTTTAATAGTGACCACGTTAACTGCAATTCAGTTCACCTCTGAGCTGTGCTTCTAAGTTATGTGTCAGTATATGTATGTATGCTTTCTTTATGTACATTAGAATATAAGTCAATTGAAGTCTGCGAGGAGTTGGTGATCAATGCTGCAACAACAATCAACAATTTATCCTTCTACAAAGTGAAGAGTTCTGCAGTTCAAGACAAGAAGCTACGCATTGCTGAAAGTAAGGGCTTCTAAACAGTGCCTTTTGAAAGTGAAAGTTACGCATGCTATGCTTTTTCGCTACAGAAAATGAAGACGCCGATAGGATATTGTGGCATTATATTGCAGGAATATGCAGATGATAGGGCTAAATTATTCCCATAGGGATTTCTAATTCTTTTGGACATAATCATATAACCTGTGTGAAAATATTTAGGTTGTGACAAAACCCCTTCTTTTACTCCCCAAATGAATTTGCTGTGATGTTTTCTCTTTAGCAGCTTTTGCTAGACTCATTCATGCCAAAATAATAATTGCTACCTTCTAGACCTGCAAGATTTGTTATCTGAAACTGTTTTGTTTCTGGATTATAAATCTGTTGCCAGTATAGGGCTTATGTGGTTCACTCCCCTCTGTCAGTATGGACAACAGTCATATTTTAGTGATGTGAAGGAGCTGCATGTGAGTTCTGGGATTTATTGTATTAATCATACAGAAAAGGCTGTTGTTATACAACAAGTCTTGTAAATGTTACACTCTAAATAGACAAGATATGGAGGAAAGGCAGAGTCTGAAATTTATGCAAAGGGCAGAATGAGGAATAGGAGAAAGTATTATGTCTGTCCACATAGGTGCCCTGACTACTAGACGTAGTTTCCTCTCTAGGTTAACAGTTCTGGTATTCTGTCGTGAGTGATTTTACTTCCCATAAGCTAGCTCTCTCTTAATGCTAGTCAGAGAAATGTGGAAACAAATGGCTTCTCTTTCAGTCCTATCTGCTCTCCCTCTCCTGTTTTTATTGTTAGAATGGGGAAGCAGTCCCATTGCCTTTCCTCTGTGAGAAATGAGGAGAGATGAAACCTTTTAACACGAGACCAGCACCCTTCCTTCAGGAGACATTTTGAGAATATTTGCTGTTTGATACAAGTGTGTGGATCCCAAAGATGCACGCGCAAAAAATAAACTCATTTCTGTCGTCTCTTTAAGGCACGTCCAAGGCATGTTCAGTATTGTAACGCTCCAAGAAGGAATTAATGGGAATAAAGCCAACCTCTTTTCTCATTTTGTATTTCTCACTTTTCTGTGGTGGAAGGGTTAATGGTTCACCGATCTGAGTCCTTTTATGTGGTGCACTGATTTCGGTGATTCACTTCTTCCTCACAGAAGACTGATAAATGCACTTTCTGTAGCGTCATTCCTTTGCCACATCCCAAAAATCTAAACGATGGTAACTCTTCCTAGGAAATGCTGAGGGTCTCATTCTATCTGCTGAAGATTGATGCTAATTACAAGTGAATCTGCTAAGCAGGAAAGCAGCAAGCAAATAAATGTTTCAAACCAGGGTGATATTAAGTAGCTATTCAGAGAAAATGTATTTGCTTGTTGGTGCAGCGCTGACTGAAAATACAGCTAATGTCAGAAAATAATTTTTGTTTAAAGAGGCGTCCCACCATAAGACCATCTGTTCAGGATCTAAATCAGTTTTCTTAAATATTACAGCATTTTTTGTTCTGTCTTTCTGGATTGTCACATGAGCCCACTCAAAACTGTACAGCAAGATCGGTTCCCATTATTACAACTGTTCTTAGACTATCTTCATAACTCCTCATCTGTTCCTTTGCATTTAGTCCCATATTGGAGCTCTTTGTCTCATCTTCAAAGCCTTACACAATCTAGCTCTTCTTCTACCATCTGCTCATCCCCTTCACTGCAACCAGACTGTTAGATAGATGTGCCCATTTATTACGTGTATTGCTGTTACTTCTTGCATTCTGATATTTATCGATAAAAAGCCAAGCGCATTTCTGATATACAACTAATTGCTTTTATTTCTCTGCGAATCTGTAGTGCTTTTGAAGCTGTTAATGAGCAACAATATGGATGGAGTTGTGGAAGCTGTCAGAGTCTTTGGCAATCTTTCCCAGTATCATGAGATCTGTGACTTCATCGTACAGAAAAAGAGTGAGTTTCGCATCTGTAGGAGTCCTGTTTTTAAATGTCCATAGTTCTAAAAAGAAAAAGCTTATTAATGAGCTGTCTCACTTAAAGGGCAGAAGCAGTCTTATCTGAAGGTTTGCATATCGTGCCAATCTTAGAATCCAGCAGTAGTCATTATAAAGACCATTTTATTTCAGTTTCATTAAGACAGAAGTATTGGAGTAGGAAAAATGTGCCATGGTCTACCTTCACAAAGGCAGATACTACAAAAAAAACCCCTCTGTTTTCCCTAAAGATTATGATTTTGAATTTCCCTTCACTCCTTCATTTCCTGAAGTCATACAGGTTTGTAATGATTTGATATAAAATGAATATCCAACTTAACTCTCATTTAGCTTCATAGTCTTTTGATTCCCATGTTCAACAGCTTGTTAGTGCTTTGTAATATGCAGTTAAGATGTTTGCCTCAACAAAGAGGCTTCCTCTTTGCCCTTGGGTGAAGTAGAATACAAGTCTTCTCAAGTCCTTTTGCTTTGGTGCCTGAAGAGCTTTGGGGAAAAAAATGGCAGCTCCTTGCTATCCAGAGAAGGTGCAAAATCAGTCTAATTAAAAAACAATTCACTGAAAATATTTTCCTATCTACCTATCAGTGCTCAAAGTGTGGTGATTTGCAGCAATATACAATCCCTTCTTTCAAGGATGAATATATAAAGGTTTGTGGTGGCGAAGGTATCTGCAAAGGAAGAGCTGACACTTAGTAGCTGCTTGCTAACGAGCTGTCTCAGAATTTTACATCTTAGCGAGAGCATGGTGTCAGCATGCCAGGTTCAGGAGGAGCTGGGAGTCTGCCTTTACTCTAGACAGGGCTGACTCTCTGGTTGAAGTTGCCTTCCACTGCTTATTGAGTTTAGATTCAACAAGTGCTGCGAGATGCTGCATGCCCAGCATCTGCTTCCTGCAGGAGCCCCAGGCTGCAGCAGTCCCAGCTGGATCTGATGCAGTGTGAGGCAACACTGCCTTGCATGGAACTTCCTTCTGTGAGTGCCAATGGTAAATCCTAGCGGTTTATGCTGACTGTGTGATTGACGTGAGACTGATACTTTTAAGAAGTAACCTGCAATTCAGCTTGGTCAACCTTCTGTCTTGATTTTCACAATACTTTGGTGTAGAATTTTGTAGGTGTTGTGTTGAAGTATCTCGTGTTGAGCTTGCACTAATGACTCTGATCCTGTTCTATAAGCCAAATGCAGTAACTTCACACTACTGTGCTACAAGGTTACAATTCTGGGTTGGATATCCTGCGTTTGAGTGTTTTCTGACTGTGCGTACTGCCATTTGCATGATTATCTTCTCAGTAATGCTGCTTTTTTTCTTTACAACCCAGTACACAAGTTCGTGATTGCTTTACTTGATGCCAAGAATCAAGATGTCTGTTTTTCTGCCTGTGGAGTCTTGCTCAATCTCACAGTAGATAAGGACAGACGAGCTCTTCTGATGGAAGAAGGAGGAATTGGGAAGTAAGTTCCTGACTATATTTTACCAAAGGTCACATTCCAGTAGTTTGGCCAAAGATCTTTAATCAGATTCTTTTTCACTGGGACCAAGAACTTGTTGTAAGGTTGCAGACTATTAGGGATGTAATGGGCTTCAAGAGAAAATCTTTCATATCCTTCAGTATGTTTTTTTGCAAGAGTGCCAGAGTGCCTTAGCCAACTGCTGCGCCAACACTAGTAGAATAATCTTCCAGAGATCCTCCTGATCTATATAGGAGCATACAACACAACAACTAAGGCATGGTTGTACAGTAGCCACTTATGCTTGACCTAACTGAATCCTATGTGAGTTAAATGTACAATTAATAGACACCTTTAATAGGTACCTGTGGAAGAAATGGGGTGCCCCCCCATGGTGTTTTGTCATTTTGGTAACTGCTTAATACTGCAGAGAGAACAATCTGAGGTATCCGTGCTTGGTATAACAAAGCTGCTGTGTCTCCTCTCTCTGAGAGTTCACTGTTAAAGCACTTCTACTGTAAGTGAAAAGATCTTGAAAAACCACTGTGGATGCAACACTTGTGGCTTTGATGTTCAGATAATAGCGGATCCAGTTTAATTGGAGCAACATGAAAGATCTTGTTCTTACACTTGTAAAGCAGCTGATACAACCCACATTTATGAAACAATATGCCAAACTTTGAAATGCTTTCCTGTTCATACATCACATAATTATTTATTTTATACTGTGTAAACAAAACTTTTTGTCTGCTTATCTTTCCTTCCCGTGTTCTGGTTAACTTTCAAAATTTGAAAGCTGAAAAGCGGGAATAAAAATAAATGACAGGTTGATTGAAGAATAAATGTGAGAAGTGTCTGTATATGTTCCATATATGGAATTTTATATAAAATGGAATTAGTAGAATTTCTGTTATGTAGAATTGTAGAAAATACAGAATTGCCTGTCAGTTTGAGAAGCGGGAAGGAAAAGCTAACAATATGGAATGAATCTAGAGAACGCACAAGTGGTTACACAGTCAGGATGACCTCCTTAAGAAAATCAGCCCTATGGATTTTTGAAAATTAGGTTATTGTACCTATATATAGTGCTCCTAATAAAACAGGAAATTGGTCTCATCAGAGGGATAAACTTAAAAAAAAAAAAAAAAAAAAAAAAAGTTAGAGCATGATCTTTTGGGTTTTTATCAGATGCTGCCAGTTTTCTGCAAACCTCATTTTAGTTGCTTTTCAGTTCCTGGTGTTTTCAGCCACATTTGAAAGTGCTAGATACCCTGTAGTTCCTTTCCTCATCACTAGATTATAAAGCTCACAGTGAAACAGGGAAGTGAGAGAAAGAGAGTGTCATAAGGTTGAGGAAGAGAACATCAATGAAGGATTAATGTTAGAGAGCTCGCTAGGGACAGCAGGTGAAAAAAAACATTTACTTCTGCTGCCCTAGGACTTGTGAACAATGCTGTTTGGAAATGGGAACTCTGGACATGTACTGTGTGTAAACTGGTGGAAGCAGAAAAGTTATAGCTTTATTTCAGTGTCCTGTACGATCTAGCCTGCATTTGTTATCTGTGAGGAGGTGAGACTAGAAGAAAGGCCAAGAACCTAATGGTCCTTAATAAAACCGGCATTTCTGAGAGCAGTCTATTGGGCAGGCTAAGAAAATACAAGAAGGGATGAGATCTGCAAAACAGTCAGACTTCACTGAATCTAAGAAGTAAATCTGTGAGCCATGGAAACAATTACTTCGGATGTCTTCAGGTTAGATCCTCTGATGTATAATAAACTGTAAGCATTGACAGAAGATTTTTCTGCTTTCACATCATCTTCCCAGGTGGATTCTTGGTGCCTGGTAAGGCTGGTTTGCATTGCAGCCTTGGCTGTAGTGGTAGCTACACATCTGGAATGGTCACATATTGCTATGAAATCTGTTGGAATTGAGCATCTTTCATTTGATTGTATTTGTGACATGTAAGATTGAAATATTTCAATTGGATTAACAACTTATGTGGTCAGATTCAGGTAGGCATATGCACTTGCATACAAGCAAAAGGCTCGTTTACATCCTTGGGGTATAGACTAAGTGAAAAAGAAGAGAGTAGCATCAGGAGTTCATTAATGTAGAATTTTCCTGCAATCCCTCATAGAATCTGCACACACTTCTAGACTGCCTAGATCTTAAAGGACTCCAGAGAAAACTATATGGAGCAAAAACACTGTTTGTGTTTGTTACTGACAGGTTAGTTGACTGCTTACGAGACTTTGGGCCAGCAGACTTGCAACTGGCTTGTTTGATATGCAAAACCCTCTGGAACTACAGTGAAAACATCACAAGTGCGGCCTTGTGTTTTGGAGAAGATACTGACACGTTGCTGATGCTGCTCACATCACTCTTAGGTGAGATTCACATTGTTGATGTATTTTCCGTAATAAGTGAATTAGAAGGAGCAAAATCAAAATGGTATTGTTTGGATGGGAAGTCTGTCATGGATCGGTAAGTGGGTTGGCCAGTATAGACTGTCCAGGAACACAGTGGTTTATTGACATACAGCACATTTCCTGAGATTTTGCAGATTGCCAAGATGGAGTTGGCCACTGCTACTCCCCTCTTTAGCCTGTCTAATCAGCATGCCACTCGTGCTTTTCACCAGCTGCTCTTTGGCCTGCTTGAGCCAACTGTCAGCACAAAACATGCTTTTCTCTGGATATGAGCCCTTCTGGCCTCAAAGGTATCACAGAATCACAGAATGGCCAGGGTTGGAAGGGTCCTCAAGGATCATGAAGCTGCAACCCCCTTGCCACATGCAGGGCCACCAACCTCCCCATTTAATGCTAGACCAGGCTGCCCAGGGCCCCATGCAGTTTGGTCTTGAACACCTCCAGGGACATCCACCACCTCTCTGGGCAGTTCCAGTACCTCACCACTCCCTCTGTAAAGAATAATTTCCCCCTGACATCCAACCTAAATCTCCCCTCCCTCAACTTCAAACCATTTCCCTTTGTCCTGCAGTTATCAACCCTTTCAAAGAGTTGATTCCCCTCCTGTTTGTAGGCTCCCTTTAGTTATTGAAAGGCTGCAATGAGGTCACCCTGCAACCTTTTCTCCAGGCTGAACAAGCCCAGCTCCCTCAGCCTGTCTTTACCTATGAAGATCATCTTTGTGGCCCTCCTCTGGACCCTCTCCAGCAGCTCCCTGTCTTTTTTGTACTGGGGGCTCCATGCTTGGACACAGTATTCCAGATGGGGCCTCACAAGAGCAGAGTAGAGGGGGACAATCACCTCCCTGCTGGCCACCCCTCTTTTGATGGAGCTCAAAGAGTCAAAGAATAATTGCAGCTCTTTACAGAAGTAGTTTGGTGCTGCTGCATGGCACATGCTGGGCTGTCTGGGGAATGTGGCTGTCCCTTCAGAGGCAGAACTGTATGACAGGGGTTCCTTACTGCCTTGCTTTTCTCACCAGGATCTCCTGAAGTGCAAGGACAACATCCTGACGATGTCGTTGTGCTCTATTTAATGTACTCCAATGGAACTGGAAACTTTACAGCCATGATCATACTTAAATTTTCTGGCATGCAGCAATGAAAGTATCTTTGTTTTGGATAATTCTGAAATATTTCTTCCTCTACATTTAACGTTGTTTATTCCAGCAATAAATTTGACTGCAGAGTCCAGGCTGTGTAGCAGTTGGAACTCTCATTAAATAGTACAGCTTTCAGGGTCTGGACGCTCATGTACAATCACCATTCCAGTTACAGAATGTAGCAGCAATTAATTACAAATAGGTGAGAAGTAAATCAGAAGGCTGGTCTTCCTGCAAGCTGTAGTCAGAAGAGTAACTTTAGGAAAAAAAAAAAAGCAGCTCAATGGATCTGGTTCCTCTGCGTGTTAATATCTTAACAAATTTTTAGCAATAGCTTCTGGTTACTATTGTCCTACATCTTCCTCCTCCCATTGTGTCCAGTAACAGCCTTGAACTGTCATCACTCTGATTCTATCATTCAGGAAGCAGGAGGCAGCTTCTGACAGGCAGTGGACTGTACTTCAGCATTGGCACACCCTCAGGAAGCTGAACAAGTACTGCATGGCAAAGCAGATACCTCTGTTCACCTGCTGTGCTTGACCTCCTCCTCTGTATTTCTCTTTTCCATACCTGGAACAAGATGACAGGAGATTGGAGTGAGCCAAAGGGGAGTGGAAATAGCATGAAAAGATGTGAGGACCGAGAAAGTGGAGCAAAGACATCACTTCTCTTTTCTCCCTGCCTATTCCCAGCAGCCTGAGCTGCCGTGGCACTGCTTTCCAGTAACGCTGTCATTTGCTTTTCTCAGCTGCTCTCGAATCTTGTGTCACTCTTTGGGCTCAGAGCCCCTTGCAATTGGCATTTCCTGGCCCTGCGCAGTGGCTCCACCTTGCCCCACTCCCTCAGGATTAGCAGTGGAAATGAGTCTCCATCCTGAGAACATCCTTCTGTGTGATCATTCAATGAAGCCTCCTTTCTCTCTCTCTTGTTACAGACATTTCTTCTGCTCACTTGTACCTCCCCTTTCAATTCCAGGAGGTTATTTTGGAGTCGTAGTACCTGTGAAGTTCTACAAGACCAGTGCTCCCAGCCCCTGTCCTGATGGAGCTGCAGAGATGGGGAACCCTTGCAGACCAGAGACAGTACACTATTTTTCAGCTTTCCCTGTGGCATGTGGACCCAGTGTGCATGTCCTGTTCCTGGGCGTGCAGCCAGCTCATATGCTGTTTTGACCAGTATCCAAATTTGCTTGTTTTGAGGAGGGTCGTGGGAAACTTCTATTATCTGAAGATGCACAGCTTGCATGTGGGACATTGGCCCTCACTGATCCCCCAGCATTACTCATGTTCTATTGTGAGAAATTTACTGTTTTGTGTTAACACTTCAGCTTTGGAATGATTCTGCCCCTTTTTGCTCTGGGCTGGTATCACTGATTCCACATTTTAGACCTATAAGGACACAGTCAGCTTCTGGGTAGGAGGTCATTTCAGGAGTAGGCAAGGCAATTCTGCCTGAAGAGAAGAACCATAATCCCCTATTTTTCTCCTCAGGATCTCTCACTGCTCATCTGCAGAGATTCATTTTGCATACGCTGGGCTAACGGGCCATTAGTAAGGCAGGAGCCAGTGGGCACAAGCTGCAATAAGAACAATTCCAATTAAATATTAGTTAAAAAATAAAAAAAAATCTACTCTGTCAGGAGCCAAGCAGAGGAACAGGTTGCTCATAAAGACTGTGGAGATTCCATTCTTGGAGATTCTCCAAACTCAGCAGTAGCTAGACCAGAACAATGGGATCTAAGGTGCTCTGGTCTGGGCATGGCTTGGCCCAGGTGTCCTCCAGAGAGCCTGTCCAACTTCAATCATCTCATGGTTCCACCAAATACAGATCGGATGCCTTAGGCTGGATTTTATTTCTGATTACAGGGCTTCTTCTTGCAGAGATGTGATGTTTTCCTTCTTGAAATAATGAGGGTTTTTTTTTCCTCTTTCTTTTTTTACGTTGTCTTAAGTGGCATCTTCCTTCTGTGTAGAATGCCATGTTAGACTAACATCTCCTTCACAGTCAGCAGGTCTTAATTTTGATCATTGAGAAACACCGTAGTGGCTTGGAAATGAAATATTTTTTGCTGTTACTGGTAACTTCCTGTGAAATGGAGCCGTCCCCATGCACGAGTAACACAGTTTCTTACAGCTGTTGCAACTCAGGGTATCTGCTCTGCACCAGCAGCCTTTCTTTTACACATGAATAGTTGCTATTAAAGTGTTAACTCAGTGTGAGTAACCAAAGTTTCTCTCCAGCTCCGAGCTGTCTTTTACTGCTGAGAGTGCAGTAAACTCTGCTTAGGTTCAAGAGATTGTGATTCTGCTGCTTTCACCATCTCGGACCAAGATTAATCATGCTGCCCATTGGTTGGAGGATTACATCTTCATTTTTGGCCCGTTTGTGGCCTAAGTGCTGTCAGATATCCTTTCTGTTAAGTTATGCTGAACTCCTGGATGGAAACGTTGGTTCAGTGTTATCAGCTGTGTTTGTAGATTCCTGTTGTAGGTGTATTCTACTGGCTGCAGACCTGCTTCTTTTTTCCTGTAAGGATTTGTTACTTTGTTACATGCAGGTAAAACAGAGGGGGAAGAACACTGGATGATGTCTTCCTTTCATTCCTAACATCACTTGTCTCCGTTAAGACTGCCCAATTATTTTATTTATGCAGTTTGTGAGTAAGGGAGGCCATCAGTAATATATTGACTGGTGTGGTTCGAATGCTTTAAGTGCAGTAATGGGTATAGCTTGATAAAGTCTTCAAAAACCAGATTGGCAAAGAAATTTGTGCTGCAGGAAAAAAAAAAAAAAAAAAAAAAGCCATAGTTAAATGAATAGGATTACTGGCATTAGCAAAATTGCTTTGGGTACTGCTAAAACTGATGTAGTTTCCAGGCTGATAGTCACAACAAATGCTTGGACTCAGAGCCACAGCTGAGCTGTGGTGTTGAGAGAAGATTATAACCTGCTATGTGCTTTTTGCCATTTTTCTGACTTCAACATCCTTTATTTCCAAGTAAAGCTACGTCCTTCAGAAAGTGATGCTTCATTTTTTCTTAAGTGTAGAATTGGTTTGAGGCTGTGAACATAGACAACTGGTAAGTTGTACGTGCTGTGGTCATAAAATACATCGTTGGGTGAGTTCAAAACTGATGATGATGTTTTCCTTGGTTACAGATGAAGAGCTTGCGTTGGGCTACAGCCTTGACAGAGGGGACCACCACAAACTATACTGGGAAACAGAGTTCAAACCTGTGGCAGAAAAACTTCTGGACAGAATTCAGAGCCATCGCTCCTCTGTTTCCACTGCGATCATTACTGCATTTTAATCTGTTTGGGGCTTTTGTTATTTGTGGATTGTACAGATATACTTTTGCAATGTATGTTGCCATTGGTAAGTGTATTGGACAGCACAGGAAGTCAATGTTTACAAAGCTGGTAAGGCTTAGTATTTATATAAGGGATACTATCTTCTTATGGGGCTTGCCTGAAATTTTTGCATTGTAATTACATTTTAGAATGTATTTGAGTTTCTCAAGCACCCATTCAGTAAGATTTTTCTTGGCTGGCAAAAAGAAAGAAAACTATTTGCTGAATCTCTCATTTTAAAAGGGGAGTTATCAGTGTATACCTGGATCCTGTGTCCCATAAAGGAATATTGCTTGTTAGAAGCAATCTGTTACCCAAAGACTTGGATGCACTTTTACTCTATATGAAATTCTGCAACAGAATAACCCAAGTGCTAGGGTGGGCATACTGGAGTGTTATATCATGGGATTCACTCTTCACACTGAAGGCTCTCACAGTCAGGAGGAAAGTTGCTCTTCTGCGATCCCCCTTTCTTTACCTGATGCCATGTCTCACATCTTTCTTTATCTTATGCCATGGGCTCACATCTCCATCCATGGGGCAAAACCAGGGCAGCCCCTTACATAGTTCACATTCCTTATGAGGCTTATTAGGCTCTTGGCCTGTTCGCTGGCTGTGTGGTCGCCTCCATTGCAGCAGTCTACAGAATAGAGCTTAGTACGGTTTGGCTCTGACAGCAGTTCTGCTGAATTCAGAAAGATCTGTTCTTATCTTTGATCTATTCTTTATTGTTCTTTCTTTTGCCATTTTAATTTTAGCTAAAGTTGAGAGATAAACAGCTTCAATGCCCCGTTTGCTCCTTGGCCAAGAGTGGATGTGATTTTCAGGCATATGAATGAAGGCACGATGGGTAAGAGAGCACTGGAGGCGTTTGTTCTTGGCATTCGCATCAAGGCAGAAGGCAGGAGAACACCATGCTGCGTGGTGCAGGGTGGGGATGCAGCAAACAGACCTCGTGGCTAAGTCCTGTCAGAAGCTCTAATCAGAACTGAGAAATCCTCAGTGTGTCTGTCAGAAGGCAGACGGAAAAAGACTTCTTGCTCAAGTCCTTGTGATGGTAGAAATGTAGGCAATTAAAACGAGTTCAAAGAAAATGTTAGTTATTTCAGTAAATGCGAGTTATTGCAGTAGTTCAAGCAACTGAACTGAAAACAGCAGTGTAGGGTGTCCTGTAGCACAGCAGAACAGGATGTCCCAAACTGGAGGGAGAAGCTGGGACAGCCCATGGGTGTTACCTCTGTCCCTGTGTTAAGGGTTTGTCCTGTGACAGTCTTAGGAAGAGACACGCATAGGAATGCTAAGGAGGGCAGAGGACAGCTGAGGCCTCAGAGAACCTGTGGAGCCTCACAAGTCTGTCTCTTTTTCTGAGCAAAACTCTTAATAATAATAATGAGCTCCAAAATGCTGAATTTCTGCTGTATTCCTATGGCATCTTTTACCACGTGGTTGCGTTTATGACAAATCTCAATGCAGGAGTTCTTTTGTGATGTGAGGAGCTTCTATTTAGAGACCAAGCACATAGCCTCTTGCACTGTTGTTATTTTTTCTGCCTTGGGAGAGTATGTTCTCATGCGCACGTGCAAAGTTTTGATCTGAAACTGTGAAGATGTAAAGCCAGGGGCTGCTGGGGAGGACTGTGAATTGCCCATGGGCAGATGGGTCTGTCACACTCCTATGGGTGGAGATAGAAAATGCTGGGTTTGTTATTTTACTAATGCCTTATGTGGGGCCATGCAGCAGCCAGCCATTAGCTCCCACCTCTCCTGCTATCACAGGCTGGGTGTGTTCACGCTGTCCTGGGAGGAAGGCCACAGCCATGTGGCCTTTTGGACAGGTTCCCCCGCCTACATCTTGTGGATTGAGTTGAGTTGCTGCCACTACTTGCCCACGATGAATGGGGAGCACTGAGGTGTTGTTTCTGCATGCACAGAAGCTGCTGCACTGTGTGGCCACGGGCTGAGGCTCTGCAGGAGCTGCTCAGGGCTGACAGCCTGCAGCAGCCACTCACATTAGTGTTTGCAGAGGTGTCGCAGCTTCTTCCTCACCCCCAGCATCACACACAGCTTCTTCTCCGTGCAGCAGGAGCCAACTGCCACTTTCCTGGAGTGTGACTGTCACCGGCACCTTCACCATTTTCATGTGTATAAAGATGACGCTGCTCTTAACAGCCTTGCTCCTCTTGTTCTTAGGACCTCAGATTCCTCAATCTGAGGCTTTCATGGGAAAGCCTAAATGTTTTCAGACCCTTACTCTCTGGTAAGCAGCTCTGTGTGTAGTTAGGATTGGCTGTGAGCACTGTTTGAAAATGTGGCAGGAAGAAGCGCTTTGCACACACAGTTTGCTCTTTGAAAAGGAAGAGGGTGCCTGCATATGCCAGCTTGTGGCTGGAGATTTCATGCTGGAAATGGACAGGTGAGGCTTTGTGGAGGACTATATGTCTACCTGTGAGCTGACAAATGAGCACCAGGAGCAACAGATGCTGCAGAAAATCAATTTCCAAAGTGGGAAGACACTTTTTGTTGGTTGTTTTTTTTTGTACGTCTTTAGGCTTAGCTTGGTTTTGTGATTTTTTAGACAGGAAAGTTTTGCACTGTTTTTGGAACATCAGAAATCCTGTATTTTTAGTTAAGAGGAAATAACAGATGCTTCCTGTTAGTCACGATTTTTGACAGTTTATTAATCTTTCTCCCCTATATCATTTAAAATGTTTTAGCTTCTTGGACTACAAGCCTAAAACTGTTGTCAGTGTCCTGCAGCAGCAAAAACCAGTTTGAGCTAGCTCAGTTCTACTGGTGGGACTGGGTACATCCATTTATTTCCTGCCCTACTACTGTAAGTTTTGACACGTGAGGTTACTAGAACCCCATCACAGCCAGCTGCAGGAATGCGTCCAAAGCTGTTTGTCACAACTCTGTGTCTTTCAGTGAGGCCTTTGAAACTCTCTCTCCCAGTGTCCTTTTGGACACGCTGTCCAGCTATAAGATAAACCTGTGAGGAAAAAGAAAACCCCATACAGCAGAGTAAGCCTGAATAGCAGGTAGAGAACTAAGGGAAAGAATGAGGGAGGATAGGGGGCAGATTGATGACAGGTCTTCCCAGTAGAGTGAAGAACTTCATTTTTTAAACTTTACCTCCCTCCTGTTGGAAAAGTCATGGACTTTCAGTACCTTTGCTCAGTTACTGTTTCAAGCATTTAAAACCTGTCTTTAACAGAGCGAGCGTGTAAACCAGTAAGAGCAGAAATGCAAACTTAAACCACAGAAAAACACCAGGAGGAAAAAGTTGTTATCTTTATTTAAAAAATACCAATAATACTGACATATTTAAAAAGCAATTCACACTCATACAAAAGTATTCATGTGTTCTCCAAAACCACTGTATATTAAATGTCAGCATTTTAATCATGTTTTGATTTACTAAAAATAGATGGTTTTTAGCCTAGTTATTTAAGCAACTGCAAAAAAATCAGTAAGACCAGCGTTGGGCATGTAACGCAGTAGGACTGTTTGGCAGCCTCGAACAACATTCCCATCCCTTATCACAGCCCCTGAGCAGGGAGCAGCTCACCCTGAAGAAGCCAGACGAGGGGCTGAGTGACACCAGACGTGGTCAGATCTGTACAGAGCTCTACGGACCACGTCCTCTTCTTTCCATTGCACTTTGGAGCTCACCAAATAACGCCGAACGAATGTCCTACAGCATTTTAAGGCTATACTATTTGAGAAAATTGACTGCTATCTTTCAAATCATCAGTGTGGACAGAGGAGGTTTAGTTCTGATTAAAAATACATCTAAATAACAAGGCTTTTTGGAAACCACGCACAATAAAGGCTCAGACAATAGCAGTGCTCGCTTTCACTTTGAGCTCAGCTGGAACAGCCTCTCTGTTTGCTCCACCAGCACAAATAGCAGCATCAAGATTTCCTAAAATTATTCTCGTAGGGAAAGTAAATGTTACCAAGTCCCACTTCTTTTCACGCTCCAACTCCTGTTGCGTTTGCCTGACAAGATCTACATAGCTGTGGTTTGCGATATTGCCACAAGTCCATAGAGCGCCCCGTGCTGGCTGAAGCCAAACCGCCCCCATGGGGCAGCACTTCGGCACAGCCCCGTCTTTTCAACCGCCAAGCGTTCAGTGCCCCTTGGCAGCGGTGACGTTCCAAACATGGAAAGAGCTGAAACTAAGGGAGTTATGGCACAACGGGCATCTTAATTTATAGCTACCATTGGTCCTGAGGCTTCGTATCTTCCTCTGCCATACTGCAGCTGCTCAACATTCCAGCGTCGACAGGCAGCCGGAGACATCAGGTCATATAGCGAGTAATAGCTCTCAGAGCATAAAGTAGTTCGGCTTGCATCCGAGCTTCTACCAGAAGCAAATTTACATGGACCTTTCAAAAGGAAAAGGAGTCACTCTTCAGCACAGTGCTCACAGAAACGTACTTCAGTAAGAGGAAGCCTGTGGGGCTGTGGTTTTCAGATTAGCTTTTGCCTTAGCAGTGGGGGAGAGCTTTGCGTGCTTCAGCTACCCAGAAAACTAAATTAGTTCTATCAGTAAAGCTTGCCGCGGGAGGAAAGATTTAAGAGGTGCTCCACTGCTGCAGCACAACGCAGCAGCAGAGCACAGGGGCGTTCAAGTAGGGCCAGGGTGGTAAGAAGAGCTGGGTAACCTGTAGCAGGCCAACTGCTTTAGCTGGGAAAAAACCAGACAAGCTTTCAAGCACAGAAGCCCTTCAGCAGTAGCTGACTACGTGCAGCTTGGAAACAACTGTGGAAGTTTAGCTTGATTTAGTTAATTAGTTGAAGGCAAAAGGGTGGTTGGTACCTGTGGAGCGGAGGGGGTTGTTAGCAAAGGAAGAGGTGGTAAGGTCGTTTGCCCCTGTGGGTCAGAGAGAGAAACACACAGCTAATTACACACAGGTAATTATCGCCTGGACAATGAGGGAGTGGGGAAGCAGCAGTGAAGCACGGGTGGGAAATCTTAACATGCCGTACAACTATTGCCTCTGCTGAGGGAGCGGCTCCCGGCTGCTACCAGAGGCAACAAGTTGGGTTGCCCAGCCCATCTCTCAGTGTAAGCACTGTGCTTCTGTGGAGGGGAGATGAAGAACCATGTGGTGGGGGGGGATGAGAAATGTTTGGCTGACTGCTCTGGCTGTAATGGCTGTGCCTGGCTTCCCTGGCATTGCTTCCACAAGGATGGTGGGAACAGCTGCCGAGTGCCCGCAGGCACACGTACATTTACAGGCTTTGGGTTTGGGCACGGAGATGCGAAGTATGGGCTTTAAAGAAGGGTTTATGTGCTTGAAAGCTTGTAAGTAAGTCTAACAAAAAAAAACCAAAAACCAACATATGAACTATTTTCCTTCCACCCTTAAACCATCATTTATAGTACCCCTATTACAACTGGGTATCTCAACTATTTTCACGAGGAGTTAAACTATTATCTAGCAAACATTCAGCATGAAAATTATTTCAGTCTGGGGAGGGCTATTTCCTGAATGCAAGCAGAAGCCCAGTACCAGCATTAGCCACATGCTGGCTGGGTGTGTGTGCTGCTAGCAAGGCTAACAGATCTCCCACCCCTGCCCTTCAGAACGCACACGAACGGTACCTTCTCAGAGTGTTCAAACTGCCTCCAGAAGCTATCATACATTCTTTTTGTGGTCTTTTCAGGAGTGCAAACCACGGTCTTGATATAAACTTTAAAGCTGCGGTCCAACAACTGATTAATTTCACCATAGTCATAATC